GGAAAATAATGGGACTTGGGATGTGGTCTCTCTCCCCTTTGGGAAACGTGCTATAAGGTGCAAATGGGTCTTTAAGATCAAACACAAGGCTGACGGTACTGTTGAGCGATATAAAGCGCGCTTGGTAATTTTGGGGAACAATCAGGTGGAAGGTCTTGATTATCATGAGACTTTTGCTCTGGTCGCCAAAATGGTTACAGTCCGACTTTTCTTGGCTGTAGCTGCAGCAAAACATTGGGAAGTTCACCAGATGGACGTTCACAATGCCTTTCTGCATGGTGGTCTGGATGATGAGGTGTATATGAAGTTCCCGCCTGGATTTCGTATTGGTGTTGATGGACAAGTTTGTCATCTCCGTCGTTCTCTATATGGCTTGAAGCAGGCTCCCCGCTGCTGGTTCGCCAAGTTGGCGACAGCTCTGAAACATTATGGTTTCCGTCAGTCCTATCATGATTATTCTCTTTTTACCCTGCATCGTGGTTTTGTTCATCTACAAGTATTGGTGTATGTTGATGATTTGATTATTTCTGGCAATGATACCTCCTCCATTGCAGCATTTAAGAGTTATTTAAATCAGTGTTTCCATATGAAGGATCTTGGGCTGCTTAAGTATTTTCTGGGTATCGAGGTTGCCAGGAATGCTTCGGGCTTCTTTCTCTGTCAGCGGAAGTATGCTCTTGATATTATTGCTGAAGTCGGACTATTAGGGAGAAAGCCAGCTGATTTCCCGTTGGAGCAGAATCATTAGCTTCCTCTCGCTGAGGATGCTCTCTTGTCCGATCCCGAGCACTATCGGCGTTTGGTAGGGCGATTTAATTATCTAGCAGTTACTCGTCCTGAGTTGTCCTATTCTGTGCATATGCTTGCTCAGTTCATGCACTAACCACGGCAGTCTCACTGGGACGCTGCCCTACGTGTGGTTCGGTATTTGAAGGGCTCTCCTGGTCAGGGGATCCTTCTTCGTGCTGACTGTGATCTCCAACTCTATGCGTGGTGTGATTCAGATTGGGCGACTTGTCCTCTCACTAGACGATCTCTTTTGGGTTGGTTCGTTCAGCTGGGTCAGTCTCCTGTTTCTTGGCGAACCAAGAAACAACATACTGTTGCTCGTTCTTCTGCTGAGGCTGAATATCGAGCGATGGCTACTACTTTGTGTGAGCTGAAGTGGTTACGAGGATTGTTGTCTTGTCTTGGTGTCGCTCATTCTCAGCCTATGCAGTTGCATTGTGACAGTCAATCCGCTTTGCATATTGCTGTGAATCCAGTTTTTCATGAGCGCACTAAACACATTGAGGTGGATTGTCACTTTGTTCGTGATGCCCTTCTGCAGGGTCTCATCTCGACTACTCATGTTCCCTCTGGCGCACAGCTGGCTGACATCTTTACCAAGGCGCTTGGAAAACGTGAATTTGATTTTTTTCTTGGCAAGTTGGGCATTAGGAATCCGCATGCTCCAACTTGAGGGGGGGGTGTTATTGTGTATTATATTTGTATTCTTTGTCTTTAGCCTTAGATATATTTATGGTAACTGTAACCTAAAACTGTATATATATATATTCAATGGTTTTACAGCGGCATCATCAGATAATAGATGGCCGTCATCAAATCCTCTCTTGTCTTCAACATAGAACGTTTGTCATAGGCTTAGCCATCGACATACGGACAAAATAGTTTGGCTTTGTCCATTACTACATTACTCCTTCCAGAATTTGTCTTCATTTGCATAGTTTGTAATGTTTTTAGAGCAATATATAGTAATCATACCAAAGAGTACTGCTATTAATGCTTGGGGTCCATTTAAAAAAATAAAAATAAAATTATATGCCATGTAGAAAATAAGCTCGGTGGTCTAAACAAAAGAATTATCCAATGCAAGTGAAAGTAGACTGGGTCATACTGATGTGGCAGCATGAAAAAGAGATCCGGTCCATCCAATGGCGGATACATGAGCTTTTATCATCCAGGATAAAAAAAAATGTACGATATTTTAAGATAACTCAATTTAAATAGAGAAAATATTACAAGTTTTGAATCAATAAAAAAAAGTAATTGTCCATGATGCGATTTTGTATTTTTGAAACTATTCATTTATAGCATTATTACTAATGCTATTGAACATTTCTTTCTCAATATAACAAACAATCTACTCCCTCCTATTCCTTTTTTTTTTTTTGCCAAAACGATAGAGATATTATAAATCAAAACGTACAACTGTGCAAAAAGCAGCCCAAGGCTGAATATTACAACCCAAAACTAGAAACTGAGAGAACGGATCAAAAGTCCGCCTAGAACCTCGCTAGCCACGCTAGAATACAAAGACAAACACACAACTAACAGACACAAACACACCAACTAAGATCGCTCCCCACAGGAGAATAGAAACGCCCCCACAGGGGAATCAGAACCAGTACCGGGGCCAACGGTCCAAACCTAAAAAACAAGACCAAAGAACACTGACAGACTCAGGCAAAGAGCTCAGACAAAAAAAACTAAACTAAACAGACTCAAGAACACTAATACTAACTAATACTACTAACGACCCTCCCCCGAAGATGGCAAACTGAAAAAGCAGCAACTTCCGACTCTCGGTCAGGCCCCTAGCCAAAACCCAAACCCCGAAACTGCATAAGGCATATACAAGAGTTCGGTCCCCGCCCCCGAACCTCACCAAAGAGCCAGAACCCACCGACCGAGAGAGAACGAGCACAGCAACCCCAACCGGAACAACCCAGACTCAGCTAACACCACTAGCTAAGCCCAGGATACCCAGATCCCTAACTATCCAACAACCGAGAAAGTAAGGGATAGTCGCTCCATACTCGTATCCCAACCCCGGTAGCCGCCACGCACAACACACGACAGCTGCTGAAGCCCCAATTCGATCACCAAGCAACACAGCCCCACTGATCCACCGCCTCTGCCCAACCATCGCCCTCTCCCCTGAACCAAGCCATACCCCGGACCACAAACCCCAAACCTCCACCCTGAGCCACAGACCACAGCCCCAAGCCACAAAGCCCTTACCGGCGTCATAACCTCAGGTC